ATGAGAATTACATCCCAATAAAGCTGGCTTTGTTTTTATTGAAAGGGCAGGAGTGTGCTTCTTCCTACTGGATGAAATGCAGATGTGATCTTGGGACCTTGAGTTACAGTCCGAGACTGGCAGATTAAGGAGTCTATCCTATGATTCTAAAGTATACACTACTTAGTCTAAAGCAAGTTATTTGGCCCTTACCGGTTTGGCTCAGTGGATAGAGCGTTGGCCTGAGGACTGAAGGGTCCCAGGTTCGATTCTGGTCAAGGGCATGTACCTTGGTTGCGGGCACATCCCCAGTAGGGGCTATGCAGGAGGCAGCTGATCGATGTTTCTCTCTCATCGATGTTTCTAACTCTCTATCCCTTTCCCTTCCTCTCTATAAAAAAATCAATAAAATATATTTTTTAAAAATCAATAAAATGTATTAAAAAAAATAAAGCAAGTCATTCATTACATTTTCTACCCCTCAACTTTGAAGTGGATAAAAAACAAACTTCCTTCTCCTTTTTCTTTTTTGCACAAAAATATAATTCATATAAAAGGCATTTGGCCCGGCTGGCATGGCTCAGTGGTTGTTAACCTATGAACCAGGAGGTCACAATTTGATTGCCAGTCAGGGCACATGCCTGAATTGCGGGCTCGATCCCCAGTGTGGGGTGTGCAGGAGGCAGCGGATCAGTGCTTCTCTCTCATCATTGATGTTTCTATCTCTCTCTCCCTCACCCTTCCTTTCTGAAATCAATAAAAATGTATTATATATATATATGGCATTTGTTCCTAACAGCTATTCTTCTACTTAATGATATATTCCTAATGCAGTTTTCAGTTAAAGGCAAATATGTTAGGTTTCAATAAATTGCTATGTTAGATAACAATATGTTAGATAACAATATGTTAGATAACAAATATGTTAGATAACAATAACCAAAGAGCCTGCTTTTTAATTAAAACAAAATTAAATATTGATAGACTTAAAAATGTTCGAAAGGATGCACACCAAAATGTTATCCATGGTTATCTTTGAATGGTGGAGTAACAGGTGTGGAAGAAAGAGGCCACATGCTGACCTGACAAGCTCAGGGAAGGCCTGCATGGCGGTCTTGCAAAGTCAGAGACCTAAAGTAACCACAAAGAATGGTCTGAAATTAAACTTTAACTAAAAGCAGTTATAGTGGGTAGTTACATCCTAGGCTGGTATCTTCACTGACAAGGTCAATCTTTACCTTAACTGAGCCTATCTGTCTTTTTGCATTTATAGTAACAGACCCTTGAAATGTTGTCTGGGTATGTAACTTCCCCTTTTCTGGACCCCTTGGGGCAGAACCTAATGTGCCAGGACAGATACCACAAATTCCTTCATTATTATCATCTTAATTGTTCCTGCACCCACCTAAGGATGTGTCCATCATTTTACTTTATATCCAATCCCAGGGGTTTCCCCACTTTGCTTTCTCCTGCCTCTAGTCTATCACCAATGGATTTCATGTAACCCACCTACGTCCCTTCCTTTGATTGTAATGTATAAATACAGATGTAACCCACCATTCTCCGGAGGAGCATTATCTCAACTCGTTGAGGTTCTGCTTCCCGGCATATGTCGACAGTTTGGCTCAAATAAAAAAATTCTTTACAGGTTTGAATGTTTTTATGGTAACACAGGTGACTTAAAGATCATTTAAGAATATCTGCATCTTATAATTTTCTATAATTTATATGAATTATCTGTGCAAAAATACATTTAAAGCAAACAACAAAAGTCAAATATTTGTCTACTGAGTAAACCACTGCTATTTGAAGATGTACTATGCTGAACTATTTTTTAATTAAATGGTTTGTAATTAGAGAAAGAACAAAGAAGTAAATTCTACCAAGGAGTCTTCATGCTAGTTCAACTCAGGTCACAAGGATGGTTTAAAAAACAAACACAAACACTGAGTTAGTATAGAAAATATCACACTTTAACATTTCTGAGTATTAAGTGAAAGTAACATTGGTTAAAGTACCTGGCAAACAGAAGGCAACTAATAAATATTTGTAGATTCTCAAAGTGAATGAATTTGCCAAATAAAAATGACAAATGCACCTATATGTAACCACTTTATAACAAACAAGTATGAATTATTTCACAGATCCTTTTAACAAATAGTATTTCACCCTTAAGACAACAGTTTGTTAGCCTTTAGCAAAAGATTGCTTTCAAAGTACTTTAAGGCACTAAAATAGATGCATACATACCATATTTTCAACACAATGAAACAGAATAAAAAGTATTCTGAAGGAGAGAAGTATATAAAATAAGATCACCGTTATAACCTGGAAAATGCATAGTAATTTAACCAATAAGTTAGAATCTGCAAAAGTAGAAATGTACTTCTATATACTAACCCTAACAATGATTTTCAAGAAATTGACAATAGTTTTGAAATGATTTTAGGTCAAATTATATTCCACACCTAATATGCTTAATTGCCAGGTTGCCTTCCCTTAATAAATTCAGCTTATGTTTTCTAAAATCAACATGTTGTGAATATTCTACACATTTAATTAACAACTTTAGAACGTGAAACTTTCAGGTAAAAAGCTTTATCAGATGATTCTCATTTTAGAAAACCTCTGAGAATATTATCCACATCAGTGAAAGTTTTTACAGTTACAAAAACGAAGGTTACTGCTGGTGATGGGCCTTTCCCTATAGAAGCTTCCCACTGGGGTGTATTCTACATGGACACACAAGAAAACCTCCTGTGTGTCTCCTGGTTAAATAATTATAAATGGGAACATCCACAAAGGAGGCTTTTCTATAGGTACAAGACAAATATTTCCAAGAGGCCCCTTTATAGAAATATATGGAGAATCACATAATGACTATAATTATGCAAGTAAAAATTATAAAATGCTTCATGATAGGCCTATATGAAACATTTTCTTACATATTCTTGAAAATATGTTAATAACCACCTTATGTTATTTTATATCTGAAAGAGAAGTTCATTGATTTTCCTGTCCCCTCATTATTGTAAAGAATGCCATTGTTTCACTAGAGGGCTCTGCCGAGGCTGTAAACATGACTGACAGTATTTATTTTCTATTATATACCTGTTCATTTCTGAGAGCAAATAACAAAAAGAGAAGGTTTTCCTTTGTCCTCCCTCCCTTCCTAGTAAAAAGACAGGTCTCTAAAAGAAAGCATTCTTCAAATGTTCCTCCAACAGAAGATAGAGCTTATGAAACAGGCCATCTAGTTATACGGGTATTTCCCTTTCGTTATTCCTGAGCCTTTGCTAAAAACCTCATTTACATGTTCCAGCCTTATCTCAGCTGTGCTCATAGAAGACGAAGTATAGGTTTATGGCATGGTTAGTTCAGAGTTAAAGGGGAACAGTCTCAGAACAAACTGGGGGGGACAAAGATAAAACTAAGAGGACCCCCCATTTCAGTGGAGGGTCTTCCACTGTCCATGGTGCACACAAGGCTTTATTTTCTTAAGGGGGAGCTTTGATGCAGGATTTCCTGCCATTACATACCTAAGAATCAAATGTGATAAAAAATGCAGAGATCTGGGACTCACCCCAGATACGATGAATCAGAATGTGCGTGGTGAGTGGCAGCAATAGGCCTTTTGAAAAGCTTCCCAAGTGATTCTTACACTAGGGCTTGAGAATCACGGCAAATCATTGCTTTATCAGAATGGCTTTCAGGGGGTCCACAAAGTCAAAACTACTTTCCTGATCATACTGAGACGTTATTTGTTTTGTTCACTTTCTCATGAACGTGTAGTAGCATTTACTGGAGGCCACACGATGTGTGATAGCGCAACAGATTGAACGTGGAAGCAGACAGGAGATGCCATCTGTCCTTTTAAGGCGGGCAGGAAAGACATCTGCAAAAAATGGGATACACTGCCACTTTTCTCACGAAATCATATTTTTAATGTTTTGGAAAATAGACATTTTTCATAAAAGTGTTTATATTTACATGTGTATTATTTTTAAATGAATAAATATGTGTAACTTCTAAATTTTTAACAGATCTATAACCCACATAAACAAAAGGTCTGGAGACCAAACAGTTTAAGACCTGCTCCTCCTAGCAGACGTCCAATGCCCTGTGAACATTACTGCTGACGGGCATGGCTGCTTAGTTCCTTGGCACACTCAGTGTATATCTCACTTTAAATATGATTCAACAGATCATTTGCAAAAAGGCTTCCTAAACTTATTTTTGGACAAGGGGATGCAATCGGACAGTGACTATCGAAGTCTAACTGGTTGTAAAGTCTAAGAAACAAAGCAAGTGTTCCTTGGTGACCTCAGAATGTAATAAATAACCCTTGAATGTATACACAGGTTGACTCTAATGTATGGAATAGAAAACCATACATGACATAAGGCATTTAAAAAATGTTAATTAGCAGTGTGACAAACACAACATTAGATTCTAAGTAAGCAGTCTCAAATGAATGACATACTGCGAATGTTAGCTAAGAACAAGTCCCTAATTTTTGAAGAAAATAAAATAGGGGGTGAACTGAGGTTCCTGGAGAGAACATAGTTTTTTAAAAAATTATACTTTCGCCTGGCTGGCCTGGCTTAGTGGTTGAGCATTGACCTGTGAACCAGGAGGTCACAGTTCGATTCCTGGTCAGGGCACATGCCCAGGTTGTGGGCTTGATCCCCAGAAGGGAGCCTGCAGGAGGCAGCCAATCAATGATTCTTTCTCATCATTGATGTTTCTCTCTGAAATCAATAAATATATATTTAAAAAAAATTATACTTCTCAAAAATGTAGAAATGTGAGTAGACAGATTAATACTGACATTATACTAAGCTACAGAATTTTATTCTTACCTGGAAATACTAGATACTATTGCCAACTTAATGTTTGAGTGTACCTTGCCTTAGAGAATGCAGACTGAGAACACTTCGAGGTTTAGGCATGGCTGTGGTGGAAGCAGTTCCTTCTAGCATTCTGATTGTATCTGAGGTATAAAATAAGGACACTGATGCTTTTAACCTGCCATGTATAACTTTTAATGTATTGCTATTTAAAAATTCTGAGCCAAGCTAACATTTGAGTAAATCACTGCTGTTTGGGATGATGTTTAAATGAGTGATGCTGTGAACATGTTTGCTAATTTATACCACATTAAGATACTAAATGATATAGTCCTTTAATCTATCTTATGTTGAATCATTGGTATTTGAAAAGAAGTATATTTCTCTGAGTAGCCTTTGGGAGACAGTGCACTGAATATAGTTTCGTCGTAGCTTCCTCTCCTAACTTGTACTTACTTGTCTTCCCATCTGGAGGGAGCTAAATAGGTCTCAAACCAAAAGTTCAGCGAACCCGACTTCCCCCCATTTTGGTTTGCATGTTCACTTACGAACCATCACTTCCCTGCAAACTTTCCACTTAGTGTGTCAAAGGTCAATGTTATGAAAGTCCTCTAAAAGGCTCTGTGGTTCTGTGGAGTCTCTGGATGATGACGGCGTTCTGTAAGTCTGCTTCTTCCAGCGTGAGTGCTTCATCTAGCAGCCTGAGGCACGGGAGAGCCGTGGCCAGGGAAAAGGGAGGACTTCTCTGAGATCCTTGGTACTTTTCAATGAAGTCTTTGATGTGGCTTATCCTGTAAAATGGCACCAACTATTAATACAATTTTATGAAAATTTGAACGAGCCAATTTAAAGTAGTAACGTGTGAAGATATCTGGCTGTGTGAGTACACAGAACACTCAAATTATAATGATAGCGCTGTTCACTGGGGCCATCTTTTAAAGGTGGACCCTTGGGGACAGGAGGAAATTATTACTATTCATCATCTTAGATGTGGCAAGGGTATTATGGTTACATTTTTTTTTTAACTATGGTTACATTTTTTAAAATATATTTTATTGATTTTTTTACAGAGAGGAAGGGAGAGGGATAGAGAGCTAGAAACATCGATGAGAGAGAAACATTGATCAGCTGCCTCCTGCACACCCCCCACTGGGGATGTGCCCGCAACCAAGGTACATGCCCTTGACTGGAATCGAACCTGGGACCCTTCAGTCCGCAGGCTGACGCTCTATCCATTGAGCCAAACCAGTCAGGGCTATGGTTACATTTTTATTTATTTTTTATTGATTTTTTATAGAGAAGAAAGGAGAGGGATAGAGAGTTAGAAACATCGATGAGAGAGATCGATCAGCTGCCTCTTGCACGCCCCCCACTGGGGATGTGCCTGCAACCAAGGTACATGCCCTTGACCGGAATCGAACCTGGGACCTTTCAGTCCGCAGGCCGACGCTCTATCCACTGAGCCAAACCGGTTCGGCGATATGGTTACATTTTTAAAGAGTACTTATCTATTGGAGATACATACTGAAGTATTTACATATGAAACTATATGAAGTCTGGGGTTTGCTTAGAAATAGTTCAGTGGAAACTAAACGATAGGTCATTATGTTCTCTTTGCTTTTGTGTGTATCTCTAAGTTTCTATAATCGAAAGTTGACATATCTACATACCTAGCTCTGAATGGATCAGACAGACAGACAGACGTAGGTTTCTTTTAAATACGAGGTCATGCTGTGCATCAAATCCAATTAGGAAAATCCTTCACTCAGTGCAGGGAGAATTTACGTTGGAATAATGAACACAAAGTAAAATAATAATTGCAACCTTGAAGGCAGCTCAGAGTTATGTTCACCTACGCACGTGTGTGTATTTAGAGAGGGAGAGCGCATATGCAGTTCATCAAAACTAAGATGCCATTGATTTCAAAACACATCATTTTATGTGTTACTAAAAAAAAAAAAATCCAGATTGTGACAAAGTGTTTTCTTAACACTTAGAATTCTTTTTACTATTTATTGAAAGAGCACTTTTAACTTAATTTCATACAAATCACTCATGTGCTTCCATAAGTACAATGAAATGGTAGAGTCATTCCTAATGAACACTAGTCACACTCGGATCCTGGACATGTTTCTCCACGTAATACCCACCCTCGGAATCACCAGGTGTGTTGGTGACACAGCATTTATTTTACGAAGTGCTCTGCTACTGTCTCTGGGATGCTTCTTGTTCGTATGATATTTGTGTTGCATGCTTTGAGGACGATACTAAGGCAAAGACAATTGTGACATGATTGCCATGTGGCCAGCAATGGATGCATCCCCATTTCAGAGGCGCTAAACGTAAAAAATGTGCAACTCAGAGTTAATGAAATATGGCACATCGAGAAAGACAAAATTCTCCCAATCAATTCACGAAAATTCAAAAACGCCTCTCTGTTAAACCTGTGCAGGTTACCAAAAAAGTCTAGGATGTGGTCCTTGTATTTATTTGGATATCAAATATTAGATAACTAATGGCTAAAGCTTATGGCAAACAATATAACTATAAAAATTAAGAAAAATAGTAAAGATTAAAGGAACTCGCCCTCGCCTGATTGGCTCAGTGGACAGAGCATTGGTCTGCGGATTGAAGGGTCCCAGGTTCGATTTTGGTCAAGGGCACATGCCCAGGTTGTGGGCTTAATCCCCAGTAAGGGGTGTGTAGGAGGCAGCCAATCACTGCTTCTCTCTCATCATTTCTATCTCTCTTTCCCACTCCCTTCCTCTCTGAAATCTATAAACATATATATTTTTTTAAAAAAAAGATTAAAGAAACTGTGCAGTAAAAATAACAAATATAGCCCTAGCCAGTGTGGCTCAGTGGATGGAGCATCGGCCTGCGGACCGAAGGGTCCCAGGTTCAATTCCGGTCAAGAGCACGTACCTTGGTTGCAGGCTCCTCCCTGGTTGGGGCTCATGCAGGAGGCAACCAATCAATGTGTTTCTCTCACATCAATGTTTCTCTATGTCTTTCCCTCTCTCTTCCATTCTCTCTAAAAGTCAATGGAATTTCTAAAAATCAATGGAAAAATATCCTCGGTTTGGATTAAAAAACAAAAAAAACCAAATGTATACTGTGATCTCTATAATCACACTAAGATAATAAAGAAATGCAACTCTTGATTGAAGTTAACAGAAGAGATAAAAATTAAAATTAGGAAAAAAATCAGACAAATAATGAAATGAAAGACTCACCTATGAGACATGTTAAATTTCTGAACAATCCTTTTCCCACTGGCTAACCAGATCTGTATATTAGTGATGGGTTCCAGGTTGTTTAGTGGGACAGTAGACAAATTATTTTTCTTCTCAACTTCAATACTTTTTGTTTTAGAAATAATTTTTGGTGTGGCACTAAAAAAATCCAGACAACAAAGTCAGATGCATGTATATGTCATTCATTTTTACCAAATGCACACTATTATTCTGTTAAAAAGTAGATCCAATGGTATAAAAATATATTTTCAGCATTCTGAAAATCACATCTGGATATTTCTATATGTATGCATGAATGTGTATACACCTTACCAATATTGATAATTAACATATGAGAAATCATCAAAATAAAAGTGATCCCACATCTAACCTCTTTGCATATTCTGCTATAAGGCATAGATATAAAGAAGACTGCAGCCCTAGCCGGTTTTGCTCAGTGGATAGAGCGTTGGCCTGTGGACCAAAGGGTCCCGGGTTCAATTCCAGTCAAGAGCACGTACCTTGGTTGCAGGCTCCTCCCCAGCCTGGACCCTAGTTGGGGTTTGTGCAGGAGGCAACCAATCGATGTGTTTCTCTAAACACATCGATGTTTCTCTGTCTTTCCCTCTCTCTCCCACTCTCCCTAAAAAAAATCAATGGAAAATATCCTCGGGTGAGGATAAAATAAAAAGACTGCAAAATCTGAAAATAATTAAAGGTGTGTGTTTTTTTAATTGATTTCAGAGAGAGGAAGGGAGAGGGAAAGTTAGAAACATCAATGATGAGAGAGAATCGCTGATTGGCTGCCTCTTGCATGCCCCCTACTGGGGATTGAGCCTGCAATCTGGGCATGTGCTCTGACCAGGAATCGAACCCTGAGCTCCTGGTTGATGGGTTGACACTCAACCACTGAGCCACACCAACTGGGCATAATGAAAGGTTTTGATACTATAAACATTGGAAGAAAATAACTAACACTGCATCTTTTTATATATTTATTACTTGATGTAATAAAGCTTATTTTCTTTTTTAATATTTTTAAAATATATTTTTATTGATTTCAGATAGGAAGGGAGAGGGAGAGAGAGATAGAAACATCAATGATGAGAGAGAATCACTGATTGGCTGCCTCCTGCACGCCTCTTACTGGGGATCGAGCCCGAAACTGGGCATGTGCCCTTGACCAGAATCGAACTCGGGACCCTTTAGTCTGCAGGCCGATGCTCTATCCCTAAGCCAAACCGGCTAGGACATAAAGCTTATTTTCATTAACAACAACAACAACAACAAAAAAATAAAGGTTTTAATACTGCTAACTTTATCAGACATTTTTCATTTTTATTACCTCAAAATTCAGATATTGATTACAGTACAATGTTGAAAGCAGTGGTGTGGGTAAAATGGAACCCTATATTCAAAAGCTAGTGTATACATGCTATCTTTAATGGCAAAGCTCAAGTGGTGAGTGTAAGGGAGAAAAGAAACGACTCATCCATCCAATTTTGCCTAATGTCCTCAATAAGCCATGCCCTTTTGATTTGATGAAACCAAACAAGCCTTCAAGATTTTTTTACTGTAGTGCCAGCATATGCTAATTCACACTAAGGTAAATATGACTTAGAGGAGTCCTCACAAAAGCTAACATTAAAAATTTCATTTGCACTAGGTGAAGTGGCTCAGTTGGTTGAGCATTGTCCTGTGCACCGAAAGGTTGCTAGTTCGATTCCCATTCAGGGCATATACCTGGGTTGTGGGTCTGATCCCCAATCGGGGAGCATACAGAAGCAATTGATCAATGTTTCTATATTTCCTTCTCACATTGATGTTTCTCTCTCTCTCTCTCTCTCTCTCTCTGCATGTCCTCAGGTGAGGATTATTAAAAAATTCCATTTGCAATGGGAGAAATGATAAGCTCCTTATCTGTGGTCTCCCTGGTAAAATAACGATGGGCTGAATGTTAGTCCAGCCTCTGCTACGAGCATGAGCCCACTCACCTTCCCAGTCGGTGACCCTGTCCTGAGAAGGGCTGGAACACAGGCTTCGTTGCCACACACACTTCATGTTTCTTATCTTCAACTTTAACATCCACCTCCTCCTTATCAAATGTTCCCTGTAATTCCAAAGGCAATTCCCTGGGAAGGGAAAGAAACAAAGTGCCCACACTCACCATGTGCATTTTCTTTTACTGAAAAATATACTCTCCATGCAAAAGGAATTGAAAAATATCCCATATGGTAATAAAGGCCTAATATGCTAAGTGTCTGGTCATCTGGTCGACCTTTCAAGCAATCAAAGTGTAATATGCAAATGATATGCTAAGGCCGCTCAACTGCTCGCTATGATGTGCACTGACCACCTGATCAAAATTCGAACTCCTCCACTTTCTTCAAAATTATAGCTGTGGCTCTCTTAAGAAAACCCACCCTATGAAAATATGAATTTCTAAAAGTACCTGTGACTGTGTAGGGATGTGTGAACAGCCATTAAAAACCATTCTTCCAAATGAAACACGCCTAAACTATCCTTCTGTTTACAAAGGTTGCTTACCCCTTTTTGATGGAGTTCAGAAACTGCTGACTTGCACCGTCTGAATAACTTCTGAAATCATCATTGACCGTGAATCCATTTTTCCATAATTTTATATTTATATCTACCTGCAAAGCAGTAAGAAACAAATGCATCATGTTAATTAAAATATATACTTCTGTATATTGTAAAATGTCTTATGTGTACTTTGCATTATAATATTAATAAGATGTGCACTGAAGGGTTGGGATTTAATAAAATTTATCATTTTTACTACTTCATCGAGAACATTCTTAATCGAAACTAGCGTTTATTTTCTCCCTGCAAGTACAAGCAAAGAAGACAGTAATTACTAGTACAGTTTGATGCCACTGCCTTGACTCCTTCTAAGGTGCCCGCCGCTTTACTACCCACCATCGATTTTGCAGTATCAGTGCAAGGTCAACACAATGACCAGGTAAATACCATCTCACTATTATTATTAAACAGTTTTGATCTCGTGGACCCTCTAAAACAACGGTTCTCAACCTGTGGGTCGCGACCCCTTTGGCGGTTGAACGACCCTTTCACAGGGGTTGCCTAAGACCATCCTGCATATCAGATATTTACATTACGATTCATAACAGTAGCAACATTACAGTTATGAAGTAGCAACGAAAATGATTTTACGGTTGGGTCACAACATGAGGAACTGTATTTAAAGGGACAGAAGGTTGAGAACCACCGCTCTAAAAGGTCCATATTTGGAGAAACAGTGGAAGAGGAAAAAAAGTCATAGGCATTTACCTGTTTCTTCTGTTCAGTGGGAGACAAGCATCTGGCACCAACCTTCTGGGCTTCCTCAAAAAGACTGTCGACAAAATACTCACAAGTTGATTGTCGATTATCACTAAGAGGTTGGTTGTCAGATCCTGTTTCACAAACCCTATATACACAACAAAGAAAAGTGAGCATTATTAACTACCAGTTCTCTAAAAATTCACATACATTATTCTAGTTCAGGGATCCTGACCTGAGATGCCACTTCCAAGTCCGCAGTCTAGACCCTCTTCTCAGTTAACAGACATGTGCCCTTGGGAAGTCATTAACCCTTTGTGCCCAGAGCAGGGTTTTCTCAAGTTGAGTCTATTGACATTTGGGGAGAGATAATTCTTTGTTGTGCAGGCTGTCCTATGTATTCTAGGATGTTTAACATCACCTGTGACATTGACCCATTATATGTCAGGAGCATGCATACTTTCCCACCCCCAAAGTGTTGTGACAACCAAAAACATCTGTGGGGTGGGAGTTGGGGGATAAATTTCACCAGGATGATGCTCTAACCGACTGACCTACCCAGGCAGGGCATTAACTTACCAGCTTTCAAATATGCAATACAGTATTAGTAACTATAGTCACTAATAAGTAACTATAGTACATTACACCCCTATGACTTATTTATTTTATACCTGAAAATATGTACCTTTTGAACCCCTTCACCCATTTTGCTCACTTCCATATACTGGATTTCATTCTATATTTATATTATATAGGAAATATTACCAAAGGTTCATTTGATAGAAAAAATATTCCTGGCAGATCTTTTTAGAATTCATATATTAGATTCATAAATGTTCTGAGATATATCTTCTCAGATTCAGTAAGTAATCAACACTTTTTATAGCTCTTAGACTGTGCCAGGTACTATAGATACCTTTATCCCATTTTATAGATAAGAAAAATGAGTCAGAGAGAGGTTAACGTATATGTTGGAGGTTACACAACTAGTAAGTGGCAGAAACAGAATGTTAATGTCTTCCAAGTCTATGCTACTAACCATGATATGCTATAAAGCCTCTCTCTCTCTCTTAAATATATTTCTATTGATTTCAGAGAGGAAGGGAGAGGGAGAGATAGAAACATCAATGATGAAGAGAATCATTGATCGACCGTCTCCTGGATGCCCCCTACTGAGGATCGAGCCTGCAACCTGGGCATGTGCCCTTGACTAGAATCGAACCTGGGACCTTTCAGTCCGCAGGCCAATGCTCTATCCACTGAGCCAAACCAGCTAGGGCTCTGTATCTACTCTTAAGACACTTCATATTATCATAAAGTATTAATCATGCCTTTTCCAAGGCAACAATATGATACTTCTTATTAAAAAATAATCACACCCTAAGATGATTTCTCACAATACTAATGTAGTAAATATTGTGAATGTAGTAAAAATCACTGAATTGAATACTTTAAATGCATAAATCATATGGTATGTGAATTAGGTCTCAATAAAGTGTTAAAAAAAAAGTGTCCCAAGCTAATCTTAGTCTTTTAAATCGTTCAATCATTGTATGTCTGTGTAGAAAAGAGTTAACACAGTGGGCCTGACTGCTATCCTTCGAAAGGCCTGCTTGCTTTCCGCTGGAGAGTCTGAAATTTGAGTAGGTGACGAGCCCCCAATAAAAAGCCTAGGCTCATTTCCCATGACCTTTCTTGGTAGATATCATCTCACATGGGCTGTCATAACTTATCACGGGGAGAATTAAGTGCGTCCCAGGTGACCCCACAGGCGAGGACTCTTGGAAGCTGTGCCTGGTTTCCCCTGGACTTTGCCCCATGTGCTCTCTTCCCTTTGCTGATTTTGCTTTTTACCCGTCCATTGTAATAAATCATAGTACGATTACAAACCTGGGGGTGGTCTTAGAGACCCCTGACACAATCTTAAAATTATATAGTTAGTATCACATATAAATAAAACAGTAAACACGCTAGTCAAAAATAACAAATGTTTGTTTGGTACAGAAGCATTTTCAAAATATTTGTAAGTGTGAAACAAATACTTGTCTGTCTCAAATGAACTACGGATGAAAGACATGTACCTCAAGGATTTAAAACAAAGAGCATAATACAAGATATATTTCACCTCCGTAAATGAGAATAGAGTATTCTATATTAACAGCCATACATTTTGCATTTACCATTTATTGCGTGCCTTCTATATGCTAATACTATGCTAAGTGCTTTATATAAGCTATCTAATTCTCCCCAAAATCTTTCAGGTACCTAGGTATAGCCCCAGTTCATATATTTTTGTAAAAATTTATTTTTTTCTTGTTGACAGTATTACAGATGTCCCCCATTCCTCCCCACTTTGCTTTCCTCCACCCAGCCCCTACCCCACCCCAGGCCTTCACCACACTATTGTCTCTGTCCATGGACTATATAGATGAGATACTGAAGCTCAAATAATCTACCTACATTGCCCACAGGCCAGAGAAGTCGTATAAGAAAGAGATGGATTCAAACCTAGGTTTATCTGACTCCAAAGCCATTATGTTTCCACTGTGATTCTATCACAAGAAGCTAACGAAGCAAAGTTACTGGCATTTCTCACTTAGTTGACAGAAGTGATATGCAAAGAGAAAATTTTAACTTTTATTTTTCTACCAAAGAAGAATGTGCTTATTTCACTTAAATTCTTAAAAATACTTGTTGGCAATTGTCACAAAAAGTTACTTTAAAATATACTACTATTAGGTATTTAACTGAGATACCTTAAAAATACTTGTTGGCAACTGTCACATAAATTGTCCTAACAATTTTTTTTTTTTAATTAGTAACAAGAAGATCTAGTGACTTCACTAAAATCCATTCAATGCAGTGACGGTGAAAAAAAAAAGTTTCTTTAAAATATACTACTATTAGGTATTTAACTGAGATAATCATAATGAACACTTACAATCACAGTCAGTGAAATGCAGTAAAAACAGAAAAAGACACTAACAAAGGCATTACTAACAAAGAAACTTCACAGATCGAATTAACTTACCATTCTTTTATACTTTCAAGATTATCTACTTCTTTCATTCTCTTCTGCCTTACTGTAAAGGTAAAAGGAAACAAAAGTTACAGTTACGAGTTTAGCATTTTAAATAAATTAATTCATAGCGTTTTAAATTGCATGCACTCATATTCTCCACATAAGTTATCATGTGTCCCAAAATAACACTGAAAGGGTCCTAAGAACAAGTGACCAAACTCAAAGCTGTCACTAGGATACCCAGTAAAATTATTATGTTTTAAATTACTTGAAACAATTCCTGTGTGATATTGCTACCTACTTGATAGTCAATTCAGTTAATGTGTTTCTTAAGTGTGTAAAATATTTATATGGTTCCATATAAATATTGTTCCGGAGAAATCCAGCTTCCATCCTTGCCCCTCCCACCTTGTCCTCTCTTTCCCAGCTTATGGGTAACCTTATTTTCCCCCCTAATATAAACAAATATCTATATTCACGTCCATCTCTTTCTTAGATAGAGTAATAGCACACAAATGAGCTATGTGAAGTCAAACACAGACAATAGTTATGAACTGCCTGCCTATTGCAAAATTCAAGTTGTCAGTTATCAAAATTCAAGTTAGGGAAAATGAGGTCTGTTTTATCTAATCTGGAATGTCTGGTTATTTAACTAAAAAAAAAAAAAAAAAAAAAACCCCACACACAATCAAACTGATTATAGAGAGAAAGAAAAAAGAAATCAATGACTTTTTGATGTTTTAAAATTAAGTAAGCTTTAAAAAATACTGGAGTGCAATGCTTTAATAAACCTATATAAGTTAGTTTCAATTCATGCTATGCTTTTAAAAAGTTCATATTAGGGAAAAACTAAATTACAACTTCTATTTATATGTGCTTAAAACAATATAGTTAAGCCTGGCCAGCATGGCTCAGTGGTTGAGGGTTGACCTATGAGCCAGGAGGTCAAGGTTCGATTCCTGGTCAGAGCAGATGCCTGGGTTGCGTGCTCCATCCCCAGGAGTGGGTGTGTGTGGGAGGGCCGATCAATGATTCTCTCTCATCATTAATGTTTCTATATCTCTCCCTCTCCCTTCCTCTTTGAAATCAATAAAAATACATTTAAAAGAGAAACAATATAGTTAAGAATATGTTATTATTAGGTCATGACAGATTTTTTATGATATCAAGATCCCCGAGACTACACTACAGATTTAAAACTAAAGAAAAACACTTTACCCAAAGAGGAGACATAATCAAGTTAGATTTCTACAATGCATTAAAAATATTTCAACTCTCAAATAGGCTGTGTCAAATAAGAATATGTTCCTTAAATTCTCTCTGGAGAGTACATATACAAAAGGCAAATACAGCACTGCTATTTAAAAATGTAAGTTTTAAGCGTTGGCCGGGTGGCTTAGTTAGGAGGAGTGTCCCATACACCGAAAGGTTCCTGTGTCATTCCTTCTCAGGGCACATACCTAGGTTTCGGGTTTGATCCCTGGTCTGGGTGTGTATGGGAGGAAACCGATCAATGTTTCTTTCTCATATTGATGTTTCTCTCTCCTTCTCCCTTCCTCTCTCTAAAAAAAAAAAAAAATCAATGGAAAATATCCTTGGGTGAGGATTTTTTTTATTTTTGTTAATCCTCACCTGAGGATATTTTTCCATTGATTTTTAGAGAGAGTGGAAGAGAGGGAAAGACAGAAAGAAACATCGATGTGAGAGAAACACAAAGATTGGTTTGCCTCCTGCACATGCCCTGACCAGGGCCCGGCCCAGGGAGGAGCCTGCAACCAAGGTACGTGCCCTTGACCAGAATCGAACCCAGGACCCTTTGGTCCCAAGGTCGACGCTTTGTCCACTGAGCCAAACAGTCTAGGGCAGGATTATTTTTTTAAAGTAAGTTTTAAGTATATTTATTTATTAAATAATCCTGACTGAAGGATATTTTTTTCATTGATTTTCAGAGACTGGAAGGGAGGGATGGAGGGGGGAGAAAGAGGGAGGAAAAGAGAAAAAGAGGGAGAAAGGAAGAAAGAGAGAGATTGGTTGCCTCCCACATGCACCCCAACTGCGGCTGGGGATCAAACCTGCAACCCAAGCACATGCCCTTGACCAGGAATCGAACCCGAGACCCTTCGGTGCACGGGCTGAATCTCTAACCACTGAGAAACACAGGCCAGGGCAATTTTAAGTACATTTAAATAGAAAGCAGACATCAGTCATAGCCACCGAAGGCCCACCAGATCCATTCCAAAGCCTTGAGAACCAGAAAGAAAATGGGCACTAGAATAATCTACTGGCCCCACTTAAAAGTCTCCAAAGGATCTGGAGGTGAAGCTAATCTGGTCACGGGACCCAGGGGCAGCCTTTCACCGGAGAAAATGAGAGTCTGACTGACCTTGGGTCCTGACGTCCATTCCAGCCCTCCAGTTTGCCTCTGCTAATGGAGCTGGGCCACAACCACAGCCGATTTGGCTGGGGCACCAATTCCCATGGGGCCTATGTTTTGCTGGGAATCAGAGTAGAACAGTGGAGTCTGCTCTGGAAAACAGCCTATCTTGAAAATTGTTTTAAATACCTTTGTTGTTTTCATTATGACTTGAATGTAAACTGATAGTGACTGTATTGCTTAGCCTTCTTATGAGAAAATTGTGAGCAATTCTGAAACACGAGGCGAAACTGACAGGGAGAAAGAAGGAGGGAATTCTAAGGGGCAGAGGAGTGAGTAGGAACAGGGTGAGGCCAGGACCCTCAGCAGCATTCCCAGCAGCATTCCCAGCAATCATTTCTGAATAAAGCTTTTGGCTAGAGCAGCCGTGGGCAAACTACGGCCCGCTTGAAATGAATAAAACTAAAAAAAAAAAAAAAAGACCATACCCTTTCATGTAATGATGTTTACTTTGAATTTATATTAGTTCACACAAACACTCCATCCATGCTTTTGTTCCGGCCCTCCGGTCCAGTTTAAGAACCCATTGTGGCCCTCGAGTCAAAAAGTTTGCCCACCCCTTGGCTAGAGGGTAAGGCAGAGTCACTAAAGCCACACTACCCCTTTAAACGGTGGATATGTGACTTTGATAAAAAGTTTTAAAAACCAGAAAACAAATTAAAAATATATTCATAAAATAGAGAAAAATATAAACACCCATCCCTACCATTCAGATTCAGAAAAATTTACATTTTGACTTACTTCTTTTTCTTTATCTATTAAAAAAATTTTTTTTTATTGATTTCAGAGAGGAAGGGAGAGAGAGATGGAAACATCAATGATGAGAAAGAATCACTGATCAGTTGCCTCCTGTACACCCCATACTGGGGATGGAGCCCCATCATATGCTCCGGACCTGGGAACCGAACCATAACCTCCTGGTTCATAGGTCGAGGCTCAACCACTGAGCCATGCCAGCTGGGCTCTTTGTGTTTATTTAAGAAATAAAACATTATAGACACAGTTGAATACTCTTTAATATTTTAAAATATTTAATAGCACTTGCTATTTAAATAAAATATTTAAAATAAAAAATATTTAATACTAAAATATTTACTACATGGTATGTCTTTTTTTCATATATATATTTTATTGATTTTTTACAGAGAGGAAGGGAGAGGGATAGAGAGTTAGAAACATCGATGAGAGAGAAATATCGATCAGCTGCCTCCTGCACACCACCTACTGGGGATGTGCCTGCAACCAAGGTACATGCCCTTGACCGGAATCGAACCTGGAACCCTTCAGTCCCCAGCCTGACGCTCTATCCAGTGAGCCAAACCAGCTAGGGAGGTATGTCTTTTTTAAAAAATATATTTTTTTATTGTTTTCAGAGAGGGAGAGGGAAAGATAGAAACACCGATGATGAGAAAGAATCATTGATCAGCTACCTTCCTGCATTCCATTTTTTCACTTGACAGTTTTCCAACATTATTTTCAACTACTCTAAAATAATCCCTTAGTTTAGATCTGATCCTTATTGTAGCATAAACATAACATAGTCATTCCACTTCTTGGCTCACATTGTAACAATCCTTTAGGCACTGAAATCCTAATTATCCTTCCAAGCCCCAACCCAAGATCCACTTCTACCATAAAGGTGAAATAATAAACCCAGTTAACACTCTTCTCCTAAAACATTTAGATTTGGGGCATTTAAGTCATATTGGTCTGATCTTGTTTACTATTGTTTCTGTTCTGTCTTTTAAACTCTCTATTGGATCCAGGATCCTTGAGGTCCGGTATCATGAGTTACACATTTCCTGTTTCTTCCACAGCGCACAGCAAGTGCAAAGCAGAGAGTTACCACCCTGAAAGTGTCGTCCTCTAGCAAATCACTACTACTTGTAATCATTTTATGGTTATAGGCCACTGATAAAGTCTTTTGCTTGTTTTATGACAGCCGAAGAGAATGAAGAGTCCTTGGTTTCGAACGGACTTGTACTAGAATACTGGCTACATAATTTTTGAACCATGTTACATTTATTTGTATCCACTGAGTGAGCTGCCACCATGATCACAGTCAGATAACGCGAGTGAACCTAATGCATGTTCTGTACAGTAGAGAATAAAAAAGCCATCTGGCAAGTTCCGAAGTTTCCAGCATGAAGGGGCCTCAGAATGGACAGATGAACAATTTCTTCATCTTGCTTCAGTTTACTTCTAATTAGTACCACTACCATCTTACATTTGTACTGTATATCACAGTTTACCAAACACCTTCCCAAATATTATCCCACTTAACTCCCAACAACTGCAGTGATAAAATCAGTCAGGAGACAGAGTACACTGAGCTTTTTGGAACATATCCACCAAAAAGAAAATCTAGTCAAAATAGAGTTAGTGCTCTGACCAGTGTGGCTCAGTTGGTTGGAGCATTGTCCTGTACACCAAAAGGTTGTGGGTTTGATTCCCGGTCAGGGCACATACCTAGGTTTCAGGCTCGATCCCTGGTTAGGGTGCCTAGGGGAGGCTACCGATCAGTGTTTCTCTCTCACACCGATGTTTCTCTCTCTCTTTCCCTTCCCCTCTCTCTAAAATCAATAAACAGACCAGTGTGGCTCAGTTGGGTGGAGCGTTGTCCTGTACACCAAAGGGTTGTGGGTTTGATTCCC